AGAGACATACCTTAAATATAAGGGAAAAGAAAAGCTGAAAGCATGCAAATATTAACTAAAAGACAGCTGATGTAGCCATTTTAATACAGGACAAAGCAGACGAAAGGCAGGCAAGAAGTGAAACTACAGGGTAAATGGGATATTTCATCATAATAAAAACTCTTACCACTTAATACCAGTAATTCTAAATGTCAGTGTAACCTAATTACATACGCTAAATACACATAAAACACAAATGAACAGAACTAAAAGGAAAAAAGAGAAACCCATAGTTATAGGTGGAGAATTTAACATACTCCTCTCAGTTATCTGATAGAATGGGTATATTTTAAAAAATCAGAGAGACAGAAGATACAACACAATTAATAAACTTGACCTCATTGACATATACAGAATGCTACACCCAACAAATGCAAAATACAGATTCTTATGAAATGAAGGTGGTACATATTACTAGATTTTACCATAGTCTATAAAGAATATGGTTTCTGACCACAATTGGAACGAAGCCTAAAAGCAGAAAGATAACCAGAAAATCTTCAAATGTGTGAAAATCAGGTAACACACAAGTAACTCATGAATCAAAGATGAAATCACAAATGGAAAAAGCATATGTTTTGAAATGAATGATTACTGAAAATACAACATATCAAAATTTGTGGAATACAGTTAAACATCTGTTATGCACCAAATGTTTGTGCCCACCCCCTTCCCAAATTCATACATTAATGCTCTACCTTCCAGCGTGGCTATACAGCTGACCCTTGGGCAGCACAGGTTTGAACGCATGGGTCCACTTTATGTGGATTTTTTTCAATGAACAAAGTCAGCCCTCTGTATCCATGGGTTCCATATCAGTAACCAAATGCAGATAGAAAATACGGCATTCACAGGATGCAAACCCGAGTACAGGGAGGGCCAAATTTTCACATATGCTGGTTCCACAGGGCTGACTTCAGGATTATGTGTGGATTTTGGTATATGAGGGGGTCCTGGAACCAATCCCCTGAATATACTGAGAGGTGACTACATTTGGAGATGGAGCCCCTAAGGAGGTAATTAAGGATGGGACCCTGATCTGATAGGATTAGTGTCCTTATAAGCAGAGACCCCAGACAACTTGTGAGCATGCTCACTCTGCTCTCTCTCTGTGCCCACACACCAAGGAAGACTGTATAAGGACTTAGTTCAAGGAGAAGGCAGGAACAGAGCCCCCGCCAGAAACCAACCTGGAGGGAACCCTAATCTCAGACTTCTCCAGCCTCCAGAACTGTGAGAAAATAAATTTCCACAAATTAAACCACCCAATCTGTGGTATTTTGTTAAGGCAGCCCAAGCAGACTGCATCCATCTTATGAAGCCAGAAAAACAGCAAATTAAATAAAGAAAGCAGAAAGAATAAAGAGCAATGAAACAGAATTAGGTATCTATCTTTTTAGATACCCAATAAGAATTAAGTAACATACAAAACCAAATTTGCTTCTTGGAAAATAGTAAAATTGACAAGCCCCAGCCAGACCAATCTATATACATCTACACAGATAAAAGAAAGGAAGCAAATATTCCAAAACATAAAATATGATCGCTTCTACATGACGCAAATAGAGATCAATTTTTATTTTCTTCTTTATACTTCTCTGGGTTTTCTAAATTTTCTCTCAGTAAGCTCTTTACAAGTACCAACTCCACTGTATGAAATACAGCTTTAGCAAACTTACCTGGCAGCCAGAGAGTAAATGGCATTGGCCGATGAGGAAGGTTTGATTTTGGGGTGCTCACACTCTGGACCTGCTAATGGGCTGCTACTGATATTCTGGAAAGTAAAGAAAGGTGTTGAAAAAGAACCTCCTTGCCACAGCTAGGTATCTCCTCTTAGTTACTGGACCTTTTCAAAATAAGAACAGTAACAGAGACAGATCTCACTCTCAATGCCATGCCTAGGGGTTACCATATCTGGCAAAAGCAGAGTTGCTTTCAAGCTCTTAAGAACATTCAAATTTAAGAGTTAGGGAGACAGAGATGTAGAAAGAGCCAGGGAAATTGTTTTTTGTGTTTAATTCCAGAAAGATTTGAGTAAACTTGCTATCTACGCAAATACCATTTCTAACTTAAATAATCTATACCCAAACAGAAAATGGTCATTCTACATTGATGACACCAGAAAGTCAAACCTAATCTACTCTCACTAACAAAATGCTCATCGCACAGATGCCACTTAAATGTTACCCTCCCCTTTTCCCTGCAACCAAGAAACATGCCATTCATTCAAGAGCTGCAATACTTTTCAACATCACCCTTTCCATTCCATCTCAGATTTCCAAACTACCTACTTGCCAAGTCCTCCATCAATCGCTCATCTCAAATTCAACATGTTCCTAGTTAGCCAGGTTTGAAACCTGAGGAGTTTTGCTTGTGTGTGGGGGCGCATATGCGCATCTGTGAGATTTCTCATCTTTATTCCTGTCCGCTGACTACTTTCAAGCCTTAAGTCTTTGTTTCATGCTCTCTAAAGATTTCTGCCTAATCTGGCTGGCCACTCTGCTCATAGACAATGTTTCTCCCTCTTGCTCATGTAGCACTGGACACACTAAACCCCTGTATTATTCCTGTCTCTCCCAAGCTCACTTACTTTCCCTTTGACTTTCCCAAGTAGCAAAGCTGAGAGATCTTTTTTCAGCCTATTCTCTTTCCAAGGTACCCTGCAACTACTAAGAGTCATCTCTTTAATCCATTGTTTCGGTCACGTCATTCCACTAATTTAAAATCTTCAAATGCTCCTCATTTCCTACCACACAAATTTGAATTCTTTAGGGAAGTAGTATTCAGTCCTCTAATCTGGTGTTTATGTTCCTCTCTAGCCCTTTCTCCTACTCTGAGAAACAAAATTTCTGCTCTACTCAGATTAACCTACTTGTCATTCCACAAATACACTTTAAGCATTGCTATCATTGTGGCTCTTATCTTAAAACTGTCTCCACTTTCCAAAGAGTACTGCAGATCCAGATGCCACTCTTTCCATAAAGTCCTCTTGACTGCTGCATCTGGGAATAATCTCTCCTTTCTCTAAAACTTAAGCATTTTCTAGTTATATTACACATGGCATTTATAAAAGGACATTTACTGCAATATTTACAAACTGCCTCATCTGCTCTCTTAACATACACTTCTTAAGGACAGGGATTATATTATCTCTGAATTCTGTATAAAACCTATCACAAAGCTTTGGTTCATAAAATGCCATCCATAAATATTTGTTAGTAAGCTGAATAATTTCAAAAATTAGAACTCACCATAGAGGTATCCAGACTGAACGTGCTTCCAAGCCTAGGCACATCTGCTCTGGGCTCCACTTGCGAGGGTAATGAAAATGGAAGTGAGTGTCGGTTGGTTAATTCTCTTCCTGTCCAGGAGTCACTGGGACTTGGGGCAGCTACTGGTACCTTGGGGATTGGCCGGGACAGCCATGAGTCCCCAACACGGCTAGAGGGGACAGGGGGCAATTTGTCTCTGGATGGACAATCGCTTGGTGTACAAGGCAGGGGCCGTCTCTGAGGCCGGTTTTCTGCTCCAACGGAATAAGGCCGGTCTGGAGGGGGTGGTGGTGGAAGATCTCGAAGTGTGGGGGGTACTGGCAATGGTTTGTCTTTATGAAGGGAGCCAGAAGCAGCCTGTGGAAGAACGATGGAAAACAAATCAATCAAAACCCACTAATGCACAACAAAGACTCAGAAAGCTGCAGAAATGGATAATGCTTTACCTTAGAGGCGGTTCCAAGACCAGAAGTACTTGAAGGAACAGATACTCGCTGTTGCAGAAGGTCAAGTCTTGGTGGCACTGGGGGAAGGGAAGCTTGAGGGGCCATAGAGAATGGAGAAGGAGGCCTTTCCACCTAAAACAAATAAAATTTCTTAACAGCTTACTCTTGTTTGGGGAAATGGCACCTATCAATTGCTCCTAAAGCTGCAGATGGCAAATGCCATGTGAACATCGATTGGGCCAGATGTAGGCTTGGGGTCACGCAAACCGCTCTTTAAAAACTCAGTAACTCCAGAGATTCTAGCACTTCCTGAATTATTTTTGTGTCACCAAAAGAGGGCACTCTCAGTCACAGAAATATCATGCAGATGGCAAGCTACAGGCAAATGTATCTAGAAATGGCAGTGCTACAAAAAGCTACCTAGCTTACAATTAAAAAAATTATTAAAATTTTCTACCTCCTCAACTCTGGAAAAAGAAAAAAATATTTTCAAGATTAAAAATGGAAGCCCATATAAAAAAAGGGGACAGACATTAACCTCTGAACAAAGTACCTGGGAAAATAACGTTTAAGGAGCAGAATAAGGAAAGAGATTAAAGATGAGAAATTCTCTGTGGGTTATTATGGTAAGAAAAAAATGAGATTTGTAAGAGGAAAACGGTCAACTACACCACCATAAAGCATCTTGAGTTCTTCCAAAGAAACAAGTTATTTCAATTCAGTAATTAAAAGGGATTAATATTTTCTATCAAGTTGAGTTCTAAAAATTGAGGTGCCAAATGAGAAGAAACAATACATGAGTAACCTTTTCCATTTTCCCTGCCCACAGCAGGGTGAAGTTTGCTAAAGTAAGCTGTCAGGAGAGAGGGAGAGAAGTCCATATAAAATGCCACTCTGTATTTGCATTCCCCAATGGAAGCAACACTGATGGGATAAAGGCAAATAAATATATATTATAAGCACTTATGCAAGATGACAAACCACCCACCCCATACTTAGTCCTGTTATTAGTGCTGGCTAGCGAATGAGGGAAAAGAAAGCCCTCATCTGTAGCTGCTTTCTTTTCACTCATGCTTAAGGAAATGGGCTCCATAGCAGGGATAATGCAGCACGTGCAGCCAAACATCTCAATTACAAAAGTCAGAAGTTATCAGTCACGCTCCCACTACATCATCAATGTCTGTCTAGTCGCTATAGCCTAATGATTTTCCCTAAGAGAATCTCATATCCATACCTTCCTTTTCATTCTACTCACCAACCTCAAACCTGATTTATTAAAACAACTTTGTAGTGATCCTCCCAACTTGCAGTTTATCTCACCAAATCCTTCTGCTTACAGCTATCAGCTTAGCCATCCTTAAACACTCGCCAACTCAAAACCCCTAAGCATTAAGTAACTCCCAACTTCCCCTGTCGCAAAATCTTTCTCCTTCCTGGCTTCCACGGGTCCCTCTGATCTATCTCCGTAACCAACAGCATTTGCCACAACTCCCTAACAGGCACTGCTGCTGCGTCTCCCAGCGTTTCCTGCATCTGCTCTGATCATCCCGACCTCTGAGCCTTTGTTCAAGTCGTTTCCCTGATCTGGAAGGCCCTCTCTGCCCACCATCCCTCACTCTTTTTCATTCCTTATGTGCAGAGGGTTGAGCTAATCACATTCTTTTTTTTTTTTTTTTTTTTTGAGACAGAGTCTCGCTTTGTTGCCCGGGCTAGAGTGAGTGCCGTGGCGTCAGCCTAGCTCACAGCAACCTCACACTCCTGGGCTCAAGCGATCCTTCTGCCTCAGCCTCCCAAGTAGCTGGGACTACAGGCATGTGCCACCATGCCCAGCTAATTTTTTCTATATACATATATTTTTAGTTGTCCAGATCATTTCTTTCTATTTTTTAGTAGAGTCGGGGTCTCGCTCTTGCTCAGGTTGGTCTCAAACTCCTGACCTTGAGAGATCCACCCACCTCGGCCTCCCAGAGTGCTAGGATTACAGGCGTGAGCCACCGCGCCCAGCCTCACATTCTTTTTTAAATTTTATTATGATGGGTACATAATAGCTTTATATCTTTATAAGGTAGCTAATCATATTCTTCAATTCATGGCTCAACAGCATAAATGATCCCTGCAATGTCCTTTTATCCCAACATACAGAAAAGAAATTATTAAAGAATAAGAACATTTCCAAGACCTGAGGGACATACATATCCATATAGAAAGGATTCATTGTGTACCCCTGTGGTCCCCAACCCCTGGGCTGCAGACCGGTACCAGTCCGTGGCCTGTTATGAACCAGGCCGCACAGCAGGAGGTGAGTAGCAGGTGAGTGAGTGAAGCTTCATCTCTATTTTACAGCCGCTCCCCATCGCTCACATGAGCTCCGCTTCCTGTATGATCAGCGGCGACATTAGATTCTCATAGGAGCAGGAACCCTACTGCAAACTGTGCATGCGAGGGATCTAGGCTGTGTACTCTTTATGAGAATCCAATGCCTGATGATCCGAGGTGGAGCTGAGGTAGTGATGCTAGTGCTGGGGAGCAGCTGCAAGTGAAAGGCAGGAATTGATAGTAGAAGAATGTACTTTGTTTTGTGTGGAACAGAAACTGTTTTAGATTAGAAAAATGTGTTCTCTTTGATTTTAACTAATGCCATTTGCTTCTGTAACCGTGCTTGCTTTTAGTTGTTAGTCAAATATAGTTAATCAAAAAAAAAAAAAACAGGGCAGGAGTAACTCCATGACAGGCTGAACTTCCTAGAGTAGGCCTAAGTCTCAGTCCCCCTCCCCAAACGCAGATCAGAACTGGCGCTGGCACGAAAATTGAAAATCCTGAGGCTTGGGACCACCCAATTGGGGGTCAAAACAATCCTCCACTTTCAAAGGAACCAATGGACGAAGGGGGAAAGGGGATGGTGGGCTCAGCGTATCGTATGCCACCGGTGTGTCCTGCGCAACCGAAAGTATAAAAGCTTCACTTTTACCCCGGGGCGGGGTCCTGGTTCATAGGGAGGCCACTGCGTTGGTGCTCTGGGACTTAGACCCTAGCTCGAGCTAGCAAATAAACTCCTTTGCCATTTGCATCCTCGGTGACTCTGCTTCTCTGTTCCTGGGGCCGAGGGGAACCGGTTCTTACACAAGTAGAGATTATCATTAGCAGAGAGGTCTGACTACACAATAAAGGTAATGCGCTTGAATCATCCCTAAATCATATTGCCCCCCATCCCCCACCGGGTCCATGGAAAAACTATCTTCTGTGAAACCTGTCTCTGGGGCCAAAAAGGTTGGGGACCCGGTTCAAGGAAAGAAAAGAAGCCCATAACAAACCAACCAAAAATACTCTTAAATTTTTCAGCAAATCAAGGACAGAGAAAATACCCTGAAAGCTTCTGGGAATAGAGGGAAAGGGGGCACCAAAGAGTAAAAAATACACTAGAAGATAGACATCAGTGAAGCCTTAATTTACAGCTGAATATTTTTCAATCCAAAATTCTATAACTAGTCAACTCACATTTGAGGACTGAATAAAGGCATTTTAAGAGATCGAAGGTCTAAAAAAGTTTACCTCACTTTTTCACAGAAAGCTATTTTTGAAGACATATTCTTCCCAAACAAGGAAGCAAGAAAAGAGGAAAACACAGGAGCCAAGAAACAGACACTCCAAAGGGGACGGGCAATGAAGTCCCATGAGGACAGTGAGGGAGACCTCAGGGTGACAGGGAACACAGCACAGAGAATAACCAGTCCAGAGAGGAGTTGAACACAGACCACTCCTAAATATTAGCATATTATACCATACGCCAGCTACTATATTAATATGGTGTATTAATAGATTTTATTTCATAGAAGATTATACTGAAAGGATGTTTGAGAGCACAGTATGACTTGGTTGTGACAGGTACAAACCGTAAACTAAGGAAATCAAAATAATTACTTCAGGAAAAGCAGAAGGTCGTATAAGAAAGCAAAATTACAGTAATTACTTGTTACATTAAGGAGCAAAATCATTTAAATGCTTGATACTGATTTAGCCAAAAAACATTCAACTAACTATAGTGGGAGGATATGGAGTAGGAAGGAGGGAGATATCATAAGAGATCTAAATCCTCTTCTACAACATCTGTGGCAAACACATCAAGAATCAAGAGGAAGCAGTACAAGCATATGGTTTAGAAACACCGAGGTAGGAAAATCTGAACAAGAGTATAGAGAAGAGCTAGAAGGGGCAGAGGCAGGGAACCAATGTTTTTGTAAGCCTTTTAAAAATTCTTTTAAACTTAAAAAAAAAATCCATGTCCATTTATCACTTTGATTTTTTTAAAAGTACATTCACTCTATTAAAAATAAATCAAGGGCCAGGCGCGGTGGCTCACGCCTGTAATCCTAGCTCTCTGGGAGGCCAAGGTGGGCGGATTGTTTGAGCTCAGGAGTTC